TTGATTCAGCATTACTGCTACTAATTACAGTTGTGTCATTGTCACTTTCAATTTTCCACCTTAACATTTTAATTGCATTAATTGGCTGTCGACATGTGTTTGATATTTTTTGCTATATGTAAATATTTTTTTTTTTGTAATACTCGTGTACTTGTACATTTTCGCAATTTCCATACTTTTTTTTTTGCCAGATTGAGTGCTTGTAATTAGTTTCTAATCGCATTACAATTGTGTTTCCAATGGCAGCAACAGATTATGTCTCTTTTCTATTTTTATGTGCATAAATACATACATACATACGTATTATGCACCTAAATATGCATGTATCGTAACAACAAATGTAAGTCGTTGGATTTTCTGTTTAATTTTTATTTGTGTAAATAACTTGCAATCGGATTTTCGAATATTTACTTTTGATGTTTTCACATTCCTGGTATGCGAAGTATGTATGATTTTACATGGGATATAAAATGTATTCAATTTTTTGGTTCGTTAATGTAATTAATTACTTTTATAGCTAAATACATACATATGTACAGTAAGTCATCATTTTATTTAAATTTTTCAGCGTTTTTTCAAAGATATTTTACGCTAGTGGTATAATTCTTCAAACAGGTGGGCCATTATTGTGAGCTTGTGATACGTGGGAGTTTCTTTGATTTTGATGACTTCGGGAGTCATGTTCGCGGGAAGATGTTTTAAATGCATATTTGCAGAAATAAATTACACTTGCATATTTTAAATAAACTTTTACATAACATAGACGTTTTTCTAATTACATAAATACATTAAAATAGCTACTCTGATATACTTACCCTTACTTACTTGAAACTAGTTGAAAAGTAATGCAGGAGTAATGCAGACGAAACCGGGAGATTGTTTTCTTTAAACAACAAATTTTACTTTGAATACATTTTCCTTCTGCACTTCACAAATAATTTTTCTATTTGAGGACAAATGAAGTTATGTCTGACGGAGTTCGAATATGGGATCACCTACAGCAGAATATGTAAACATATGATATGTAATAAAATAAAGTAAAAAAAAAAGGAAAATATTTTGTTTTTCTTATTGATATTATGTGTCCTAAAGTAGTTAGTTACAAGTTAGTTGGCATCAAATGCAGAGGTAGCCACCCTTGACTATTTCGCGGCCATCGCCATAGAAATATATGTAGTTAGCTTTCCTCAAAGAAAATATACCGATAACAGTAACCTTTAGTTCCTTCCTAATCAACTTCAAGTTAACTTACAGTTAGATACATTTCCCGTAGGGTTAGGGCTGACAGAATTTGATTATACAGCAGAATAAATAAACAAATATGCAATGTTAAATAAAGTAAATAAATAGACAAGTAAACAAATTTAAAAAAAATATTATTTTTCTTTTTGATATTTTGTGTTTAATGCACATTTCCTGCAGGGTAGTTATTGCTGACTACTACATGGAAGTGGTTAATGACTTTTTCATATAGTACTTCAGTGGACGTTTTGTCATCAGCGCCCCCCTTCATGATATGGCCATGCAAAAGTCGTAAGTGCCCTCTGGAGAACATGTCATTCAGTGAACATAAGTGTCACTTACATGACATGTAATGTAGAAGTCGTTAAGGCCCACTACATGACACAGCGTTTAGTAGTAATAAGTGTTGCAAGGGTTATAAATGTCCTCTGGAGGACATTTGATACACAAGTTACTGCTCATATTTGGCGATATGTCATGAATTTGTTAAGTTGGAAGAACAAATCGTAGTTGAAAAAATTATCAGAAATTGATAGCAATTATGAAATAATGTAGAACGATACAAGTGTTATATTTTGTTGTGTGAATAACGTTGCCGCGAAAGAACAAAACGGGAACAAAAGTATTGAGGACAGTTTCAAAGGGAACATAATGAAAACAAAACGTTCGGAAAAGTTCTCAAAAAGAACAGACTAAGAACAAAACTCCCGAGAAAACTCCAAGGAAAATCGATAATAGAATAATAGTCGTTTATCTACTACTAGTCGACACTAGCTATAGAGGTGAAAGTCTTGAAAACTTAACATTAATAATGAGAGGGACGTCTGCGTGCTGGAATGAAAAATCGTTTCAGTGGAACCAGTGCTGAAAAATTTCGTTCGCGAATAGCTCAGAGAAAATTGTTACCGTTTTGTTCTCTGTCAGAAAGTTCCTGAGACTTAAGTTCCCGAAGTATTCTTCGAGAAAAAGTTCCTTAGACTTTTCTTCCCGTTTTGTTCTTCGCCAGAACGTTCCCGTAACTTTTCTTTCGATTTTGTTCCCTTAGAAAGGGCGCCGAAACAGGGTTTTGTTCTTAAATAATTCCCGTTGTGAACGTTCTCGACAGTTTTGTTCTCACTTTTGTTCTTGTAAAAATACTCCGGAATGTTTTTTCTCATTTCGGTTTGGCTTTTTAAGCGTTCTTGGGAACAAAACTTCGACACCGACATTTAGTTTGGATTAGACCCTTTATTGGTGTCAAACGCGCTTTCATTATATCATAATAACTAACCAAATGTAGATTACTTATAACAGAAAGCTTAAAATTTTTTCATAGCAAAAAGCTGCTAAATAGGAAAGGGGTGTATGCATCGACCTTCATTAAAAAACCAGGACAATTTAAGTGTGGACCAGGGCACCAGGACAACCAGGACGTCTGGCAGCCCTATGCTAAGGAAATTTCTTGTGCTTTGCATTCCTTATATAAATATACGTATATGTACATGCCTTTAGAAATTCACAAAAGCACCATTAGCCAAAATGCCATCGATTTCCCAGCTGGTTTCGGTTAGCTATTTGCTACTTGTGTAAACTCATACATTTCCAAATATAATTGCAATTACATATGCTGCAGTTTTAAACATGAATATGTATGTATGCAAAAACAAATGTATAAATGTATGCATGTATACGTACTTTGTATGTACATAAATATGTTGCAATGAGACGGCTGTTTTAGCTAATAGAAAATTATATTTGCTGCAAAATGTATGGTAATGAATAAAAACTACATACAAATTCACTTAGGCAAAAATGTTCATACATATGTATGTACATATCGATGGTCCCCTGCAATAACGACACAACTGAGTTATATAGTGGAATAGGTTTATAAATAACAATATTTTATGCTTACTTCTTACTAATCCGATAGGGGCGCAGTTGTGCCATTTGTAACAAAACCGAAATCTTTAGAAGAAAAGTCATAATTTGAAAGTTTACAAATTTTCTCTTCCTAATGGCTGAAAATTATCCGAAATAATTACGTTCCAAGACATATTATTGCTAAATTACGAAACACAAAATCTTTAATTGGCTCTACTGAAAAATATGAAATTTTTAAATTGTGTCGTTTCTGCAGAGGACCATCGATATGTACTCTACGCAATCTTAACATAATTGCCCAGTATAATATAAAATTCCGAATTAATGCTTCCAATTGAATGCAGTCTGCAGTGAATCAAACCACAATACAGATGAAGCATCTCTATATTCATAAGATTAGTAAATGCTTTGCAGCTGGCAAAGCTGTGAGCAAATGAAGTGAAATAATTTCGTAGAGCTAATGGAGTGAAGCATTTACTTAAACAGGTGCAGAAACTTTTGTGCAACATTCGGCTAGAATCAGTAATAACTAATTGTGTGAAATTTTCTAAGGTCTCTGAAAGCGAATTGATCTACAAGTTGTTAAGTAACAAAAACATCAGATTAATATTTGTATATTAAAAAAAGTCATACACTAAATCGACGGTTGAGATGGCTCAGAACGCCCCACTTCAAAATTTAGCTGATGAACGTCCTATGTTAGAAATTGTTTCAAAAACGCCTTATTTCAGAGTTTGATTGAAGGGCGCCCTATATCAGAAATTGTTTTAAAACTGGCCTTATTCTAAAAAATAAATCAGCTTTACATAAGGTTTATAAATTGAAAAAAATGTATGAAAACGTCATTTTATAAAGCTTTTTAAAGCTACTCTATTTTTTATGAACAAGGCCATAAGTGTATTATTTTTGTGATATTTTTATTATAAGTTGACTGTTTCATCATATCTCAAAATTTCAAATTCAAAATTAACGTTTTTGGAGATTTTATACGACAATTAATTAATAAGCTTGACAAAGAAAAAATGTTTAGTATGGGTAACAGAAAACTAAGCCCCCCAAAAAATGGTGAAGATATGTATGTATGTGTCCTTCTATGTATTTTTTGTATACAAACTATATGAATTGATCAAACCATGGCGAATTTACATATATAAGGTTGTCTTGTTTCATCAGCTGCGAGTAGCGTTTGATTGTCAAAATTTTGTATTTTGCTAGTGAATGAGTGAAAAGGGAGAGTGTTTGTATTATTTTGTCGGCGCTTTTCATTTTGGGAAGAATAGCTGAAACTTGACAATGGCCTGTTAAAAGCAAAAACAAAATACAAGCAATTGTTGTATTTGTTGAATCGATGCCGCCTTATATGAATTCGCCTTGGATCAAACCATAGTTGCGTTTTCACACAAAATTTAAATTTTGTAGTAATTCCCTTTATTATTAAATTGCCGATACATAATTTTGATGCCATTTTGGAAAAGATTTCCAATTGGCGTAGTGTTCAGTAAATAGGTAAATTTAAAATTACCAAAAGGATTAGTTTGTATTATACATTTCACGTGAGTGTGTGAGTGTAAGCGTAATGTGTACGTGAATGAGTATTTTATGGTAGATAAACAAAAATATGAATAATAATTTTGAAATGCCACAATAATTTTCATTATAAATATTTATGTATATTTGTATGCCACAAAAGGCGCGTGACCCAGATACATATATGTACTTACAAACATTTTATGTAGCGATTAACAATGCATGAGTATTTTAAAATAACTCACAATAATTCCATATAACTACATAGTTTGCTTAAAAGTACTTTTCCTTTATATTTTACCACATTATCTATCCCTTTCCCATCTTCATATTTATAACTACTAATAATATATTCTGTAGTTATTTATTACTAGATAGACTCGTATATGTATGTATGTATGTAAGCACGCATTCGACACGTCTTACATGATAACTGATTCTCATACAGGTGAACCGGAAGAACCTGAAGCACAACCGACACTACTACCACCACTATGCCCGCTACGCAAACCATCATTACTACTGCCCATACTGCCGACACTTTTCAGGGTTGCGGTCGTCACTGGTGTTGCGCACGTTGTGACTGCTCCACCAGCTGCTATGCTACCCACTCCAGTCGACATGCCGCCAATATCACTAATGCTTTTCACACGTCGATGTTGCTCGTACAAAGCATTTTGATCTGTTATTGATTCAGCGGTGCTGCTGCTACTCACAGGAGGCGCACTAACGCGGTGTCCAGGCGGTGCGTAGCTGAAGATGTTGCCGCTGCCGCTGCCACTTACGTGTGTTCCCAGACCAGGGGCTGATGAGGGCGGCGGTGGTGGTGGTGCAGTTGTAGGTGGTGGGAAATGATGTGAGGTGGTGGGGTAGAGCGGCGCTGAGTGCGGTGGGTGACCGCCTATAGCGGCGTAAATTCCTCCACCACCTTCGGAGCTACTATACGATGGTGTGGGAGAGGTGGAGTTGCCGAAGGATGAACGATCCCCAATGGAGCTTCCGCTGCGTGATGATTTTGCATTGAAACGGAAGGCTTTAGAGAGAGAACTCTGTGGTGGAGAGGGAAGGAAAAGAAGATTGAAAAACATTGTTGAGATAAGGTGGATATGAAATAAAAGACAAATAATTAGCAGGATTTAGTACGTAAACTGAAATTAAGGGGTTTTTAGAAAGCATAATGGAATCGCATGCAATGTATGTAACTGTGAGTTCAAGTTGAAAGTTAAATGTGGACAAAAAAAAATCTATTGAAAGGAATTTAAAATTATTAATAAAATTTTATTTATTAACTATTATAAAAGCTTATTATCATTGGAAATATTTTCGTAGAATATATTAACCCATTAGCTCCCGCCTGAAGGGGTTGTTTTGACCCTTGAAATTGTGCTTTTGACGAAATTTCGTAACTAACAAGAAAAAATGCTAATAAAAAATACAAAATAGTTTAAAAAAAAGTGCGAAGCAAAAAAGCAACACAACATTCTACTAATCGAATTATGCATTTAAACCCAAGAGACATTGCAACTCACCTGTGATCCTTTCCATGCCGATATCTGCTGAGCACAGAAGCGGGAAAAGAAATAAGAATGCATACATATGTATAAAAGTTCAAATAGTTTTTAGCGATGGTGCAAATGAAATAAATATAAAAAAAATATTGAAAAAAAACCATTAAAAGTGATTAATTACAAACGAGACAAATTTGCGTTAAAGTGGCTGCATAATTTCCACACAGGCGCAGACAAGCACGCGCAGGTTAATTTATGCGCACACACAAAAGAAAAAAAAACAGAAAAATAAGTATTTATATTAATGCATATTTTGCACCGGCGACATTTCCTGCGGTCATACGTAGGAAGGGCAATGCAGCCGGACGTTCTGTGGAATTGCTACATATACATATATGTTAGTATTTATGGCTGAGTAAGTTACACAACCTGGTTTAAATTTATTACGTTTATGTCGGGCTGCCAATTAGGAAAAAGGAAAACTTTTATAATGAGTTAAAATTTAGATTTTTAGTCGCCGCACAGTGGGCGGAGAGGCCATGTTTTACGCGAAAAAGCGATATTTAAAAACTGTCATAAAGTAGCCGGAATAAAAGTATTCTTATTCAGAAATGTCCAACGAACTCAAAACGGATTAGTATTAGTGATTAGAATTAAAAAAATTAAAAAATGCAAAATCCAATAAGGCATCGGAAATTAAAAACAAATCAAACCTAAATAACTTTATTTCAAAATGAGAAAACTGAAGTTTTTGAAAAGACGAATTTCGTATAAACTAAAAAAGTCTTAAAAATACTGTTGGGGTTCTTTTGGCTGAACATATATGTACATAGCAGGCGGCCACAACTATCACTAATTTATAAATATAATTACTGTTACATTTTTTCATAATTTGATCATAAACTCATTTTAAAAATGTTCCCTAGAATATAGTTAATCAAATTTTGGTAAACAAATATTTTGTGTTACTCAACTGAAAATGACCGTTGATTTGGCAGTTGTCAACCACAAAAGCTTATGTGATACAAAACTCGAGATCAGTGAGCCTTAAATCCTAGTACGTTTACTTATTGGGAAATGCTCCTTATTTTTAGAGAAACTGACAGCCCCTTCGACTTTTGTTAACTCTTAACGTTTTAATTTGACGTAAAATCGTGAGTAGCGTGTCTAAATCTGTTATCAGTAGCATCTTACAAAATATTTGAATATTTGTTTATTTTTAGTAAAATCAACACTTTATTTGACAGCTGTCGACTCTCAAAGTTTTAATTTTACATAAAATTCGTGATGAGCATGTCTAAAAACCTAATCAGTGGCATTTAAAAAAATGTCTTATTTTTAGGAAAATTAGCGGTCCATTTGACAACTGTCAACTGTCAAGGTTTTAATTTGATTTGAAATTCGTCATCAGCATGTCAAAAAACGTTTTCAAAAAGATGTTCTTAATTTTAGGAAAAAATTGGCAGTTGATTTGACAGCTGTCAGCTGGCAAACTCTAAATTTTATAGCATATTCGGATTCAGCATGAAAACAATACTACGATCCCGCAGTTTTATTATAATCGTAACAGCTCTTCTAATTTTTCGCATAAAACATGGCTTCTGCGACCACTGTGCGCCGGTGAACTCTATATATACATAAAATCAGGGCTGCAAACCGGTTTTGAACCGAACCTTCGCCTTTTTCGGGCTACGAACCGAGCCACGAACCGATTTGTTTTTATTTTGAAATGCCGAGACCGGCCGGAAAAACCACTCAAAAAAATGGTTCTGTTCGGGTCGGTTCAAAACGAGAATCCCCTAAAGCATTTTTCAAGTTTTTTAATACACAGCTTGGGGCTAAAAATGCAACCCGTATAGTAAAACTGCAACCATTTTTAATATTTCTTTGACCATAGGTATCTTGTACATATGAAGTTAAGGCCTCGTGTGAGCTTCAGCCAAGGTTTCTTAAAACTTTTCTAATTTCACTTTGATAGCGTTGATTTTAAATTATTATAAAAAATTGTCCAATATAAATACATAGTTTGTATGGAAGAAAATCCGTGAAAATTGTTAAAAATCAATTTAAAACTGAAAAGATTTTCCTAGAAATTCTTATAAAAAAGTTTGCAGTTTAGATGAAACTGTGCAGAATATTCATAAAAAAATAAATATTAAATAAAAGAAAGAAAAAAAGCCATAGCTTTACATGTAGATATTTAATTTTGATCTCAATAACAAAGCCTTTAATTTTTTTACTATGGATTTGTCATATTTTTGTAATATTTGAAATACTTGGGCATAAAGAAATTGATCCACTTGAACCGAACTGAACCGCGATTCAGGGACACTCGTCAGCTTTTTCTAAGTGGTTCGAATCACTGAACCGAACCGCACCAATTTTTGAAGTCGGCTGCAGCCCTGGTTTAAATAACGGTTTCTTCTTTTTCTTTAGCGACGCTAAAATGGCACCAAAATTTAATTTTGGGTCGTAGATTACGGATCTGTGTACCGTTTTTCTAGACAAGGTAATTTACAGAAGATACATATTTTCATTTTAAGTTTACATTAAATATGAATGAAAATAATAAAACTTTAACACGACCAGGTACGACATGGCGCATGAGCAACATCCTTACAAAAAATTCTTTATTTAGCCATCGATTTTCATCGATAGTCGCTGGATTTACTTAATACAAACGAAAAAAATACGAAAGATTTTTTATTTTCATAATTTCCATGTTAAAGTTTGAATTTTTTTCAATAAAAATGAGAGTATTTTTGCAAAATGACATGATCTAGAAAAACGGTCTTCTGCTTACAATAACTAACGACCCCAATATTAAGTTTACGTGTGTCGGCAATTTCTTGTTTTGTGTAATTTCAAAAATTGAGATTTTCCCTACAGTGTAATTTATTTTCCACATCTGCTACATTATTACGTATACGTCAAGTAGTAGCACGAAGCTCGTTTTGCGGCTGGCCAATTTTTTAACCAATTTAACTCTTTTAATTAATAACCTATTTACTTTGCACTCATTACAGCTCATGAAGCATGCATCCTTATGTAATACGCATACATACGCATAATACTATTTTTACCGCATAGCCGGGCCCTTTACGCATGTATGCAAATGCATATGTAAATATTAAAAAATCCAATTTTACATATCGTAAATGTCCTTCCCGCATAACGTTAGTCCGAGCTCTTGTTGTCATTTAACATTTCATTTCATTCAATTGTACCCAATTAACTGTTAATTTAATGTCATGAAATATTCGTCTATACGCAATTTACATGTATGTGCAGACACATTTACATGCATAGCATAGCATTGCACTGCGCTATGCCAGTCCTTTTTATTGTCACTTACCCCCCACGTACAGCAGTACTTTGACCATCGAAATTTTTTCACTTATTTATTGAAACCAATAAAGAAACTAAGAAAATTACCCTTTAGATAAAAATATCACACTGTGTGTATGCATTATTATTAATTTATTTCACTTACTCAGAACCATTTAATTTACTTAGTTAATTAAATTTGCAATATTTTTAACGTTAAATATTTTACATGTTTATTAATTCACCATTTGATTGATGTGATTTTTCTTTTAGTTTTTGTATTTGGTTTTGATCTTTTTCTATAATTTGAAAACGTCTTTCTGTGCTAACCGATTTATTTTATAAATTATTATTATCCCTTCTGGAATATCAGCTTTTTTATTTTATTTTTATGTCGTCATTAATATTCTACTCTTTTGCGTGTGATTGACAGTATGCTAATAATAAATTCAAAATAATTACTCGAATTAATTCGTATTTGTAATTTAATCAAGCATACCTAATTTCAACGCCTAATTGGCTTTCTTTGTTTTATTTTAATGTTCTGCTCTTTAATTGCCTGGTAATTTGTATTTGCATTAGCCAGCGGTTAAATTCATCGACTTAACTTTACGCGCAAAAAAAAAATCAGAAGCTTGTTTTAGAACAGCAATTCCCCTCGCATAATATATGTAGTTATGTGTTTTTCTATTTAAATTCTGATTTACATACGTACATAGATAATATTAATTTCGTTAACTGAAAGCTTTTTTCGGAACTTAAATAGATAGTACGTATATTATTAAGTAGTTTAAAAGAAAAAGCTCCATTAATAGTACTTTTGACTTTGTTTCTTTAAAAATATCGCCGAAGCTTATTGAACTTAGCAATAAAAATTTTTACTAGTTTTTCAAAAAAGTTATTTTGGTTTCTAGGCCAAGTACTTGAATGCGTTGTTTCAAAGCCATCAAGTATCATAGTTTGTAGATACATATGTATGTTCCTATATGTGAAGATATGAAAAGTGAATTTTCGGAAAGCGATGTCGAATAACATAAAAGAAGGAAGCCCTAATGCTTTTCGTTTCATATCTACCTCATTTTCAGTTGAACATACTTACAAGTTAATCATGAAGCGTATATTGAATGGCTAAATAAACTAACTAATTGTTAAGTTAGAAGCCGACAAAACAGATCAGAAATATTTGCAATTGTATTACAAGTAGAGCCTAATAAATATTAAGCTCAGACAGAAATTTAATCGTTCTGCTGCTCGATTAGCTAAAGTGATGGAAAAGTTGGTACAATCGTACTTTTATTTAGTATGAAAATCCAATCGGTACAAACACACCCTTTTAGATACACTTGTAGCATAGTCAAGTAGCTTTTCGGGAAATCAATTCTTATTTTTATTCACGTTTCAACGCTTTTTCTGGTGTGGGCAACTTGTCCAATGGGGAGGCTTTGTGAAGAACATACCAATGATACAAAAGGGTAGTCAAAGTAACATAGCTGAGTTGATTATTTCGGACAGACAGATAATGTTTCCTTTTAGAACGTCAGATCGAATAACTCGGAGGAAAGTGGTTGTTTAATGGGAGTCTAGAATATGTTATCGAAGGGGAAGGTTATCCTGATATTTGCTTTACTATAGATACACCTTAGGGCGGGTCAATTTGTATGGAAGATTTTTACGAATGTGCGCGCACAGAAGGAGTCTACGAGTAATTTTAAGCAAATTTATCGAAGAAAGCATGGGTCTAAAATCAATTTGGAGTTTGCCAAATTGCCAAAATAGATTTCTTAGCATTTTGCTGTAGTGTCGTAAAGAAGTGCTTAAATTTTGTATAAAAACATGCTATAAGGGGGTTTTTGGTATCTTTTTCTTAAAACTTCCACCATAGGGCGCAACAGTAAAAATGTTCACATTTTCTTCTAAGCCTATTTTCGCAATTTGCAAACTCCAAATTCATTTAGACCCAAGGTTTCTTCGGCAAATTTCCTAAGAATTATACGTAGAGTTCTCGATTGCTATACGTACATAATAAAAAAAGGAATGACCCACCCTAATATACGTATAAAAATACATATGTACATTTTAGGTGCAATTTGAAAATTAAATTTTCCATCCCTAATGGAATATCAGCTGCAAAAGAGGACCAGAAACAAACAGCTGGGGAAAAGCCCTGACTGTTCTCTGAGGCTTTTAAATATTAGGAGCACAGCTTTCTCCTTGAAAATTGTATCGCCTTTGGATCATAAAATTGATTGCGTAACTCGCAAAACCATCCGATAATAAGGGTGACCACTGTAAAAAGTGAAGAATTTGTCTCATTATGCTGATTTTTTAAACCTCTAAGCCTGTGTTGTGAATCTGAGCGTTATTTTGCTGACATATTCTAGCAATTTTTGATAAAATAACTCTAAGCCTTAGGTGGATTTTTGTATCAGAATCTCATTTTTGTGCTAAGAGCAGATAGCGGGTATTGAATATAAGCCCTCGATTTTTTAAAATTGTCTGTGCAACTAACATCCGAATTATTTTGTAGTTGCTAGCTAACTAAACTAAAATAATACATTTTCCAGCTGAAGTCCATCCTTTTTTAATTGATCGACAAATCGAAAGTTGAACACATTAATATGTGCGTATGTACGTACATATGTACATATGTTTGTACATCAGGGTGCATCACTCTACAAATCAAAACCAATCGGTACTGGTATTCGAGCGTAATTTGTTATATTTAAACACATCCGCCACCATATTTCGGAAAAATATTAAGAACTACGTGAGCCGGACCGATTTGAATATACCTCCAAAAAGAGATTGTTTTATAAATAAAATTATTTTTTAAAAATATCTTTACCAAAAAATTACCGCAGATGATAGAAGAGTTTAAGCTTTAAAGGTCTGCATAAAAATATTAAAAAATTTTAAATTTTAAATATAATGAATTTCATAATATTTTAGTGAGGCACCCTAAAGTACATACTATGTATGCTTCTATTTAAGTAAATGTCTACTCGGCAAGATATTCTTTTTTTCATATAAGCTTATGCTTGTATTTGAGCCTTTGGGATGAAAGTGTGTATGTGTCTGTTAATCTCTACATTTTTGTCCGTTCAACATGCAACATTTGAATGACAACAACTAAATCCGACTACATAGTTAACAGATAAACTTTTCCAAATAAATACATATTTGTTTCAGTGTGTGTTATTGTGTTTATTTAGAGTAAGTAATCTAATCGTAAAACATACATACATATCATTGCATGGTTGGAATGTTGAACGAGAGTTGTCAATAAAAATGTAAAAAAAAAATCCGATTTTCTAGTTGCATAGGAATTAAAAACGAAAGGTCGACATATTAGGTGTTAAGCTTAGTTTTAAAGTATTGAATAAGGCTAAATTTCTAAAAATGCATCTAAAGCAAGCAATGGACGGGGCAAGGCAAGGAAAGCGTGAGCTTTGCTACGCCTACCACAGCTGTCACGTAAAGGAGACTCCATCGCCGAGTACCGTCATTCACCCTGTGGACGAACGTCTAGCCACAATCCGCATCAAAGCGAGATTCTTAAACATCGCTCAATCGTTCCATAACAAGACGTAGGGTCCTAGACTGCCAAATTGTTTTCTCACAAATTGTCAATGTATTTATTTAATCCGATAGAGCTTTAAAAATAAAATTCTCAACTTTTTTGGTGTCGTTTTAAGGTATGGCAACCCTACGAAAATATTTACATGGTGCGTTCATTGGCACTAGCAGATTTATCGTGTTGTTTAATAAAAAGTCGCATAAAAATTATATAAGGTGTCTTCTTTCTTTTCACTAATTTTCTTCAGAAAGGTTTTTTTTGGAAAAAGTGAAGTAAAACGGGATGTGTTTTGAATTTTAAAATTTTTAGTTAAACCCTTTTCAAAATTTTTTAAAGTTTTTCTTCCAATTATCGCCTATATCTGAGGATAAATGATCTGAAAAGTATCTCGGAAATGACTGTAATGGAAAACAACAAAATTAATTCAAAATTTAGCATCTTTTCAGTTTCTTAAATGATATTTTGTTCACAGGTTTATAATTTTTGCAGTAATTATTAAGAAAATTATATTTTTTTGGACGTCTTCCTGAGCCAAAACCACAATATTTCGCCAATGTTGATGCAGTTTCTTGCAAATGTTTTACAAATGAGTTAATTTTTTAAACATTCTTCTTGCACTTGTGACGATAGTTATCTTTACGTTTGATCAAACAAAAATAATAGAACACTGGTAAGGCCGGAAACGTTTTAAGTTCCCCGTAGACAACATCGAAATTTTAACGATTACTTAGGGTATTTTTTCATTTGTTTAAAGCAGGGACCGATAATAACAGTTATTGATGAAAAGTGTCATTGAAAAATTCACTATGAAGAAAATGCTCTACAACTATGTGATACATACCAATCGATCTCGTTTTCAACCGAGAATCAAACTTTAAAATAAATTTGTAATTATAAGTTTGATGCAAAATTAAAAAAATAACAATTACTTTTGATTTTTATTTTATAAATCCAAAATAACAATTACATTTGATTTTTATCGAAGTAATCTGTAAATAACAGTTATTTTTTATTTTTATATTATATGTCTTAGATAACAGTTAGTGAAGACTTTTATTTAAAAAAGTCATCAATAAAAACCAGTCACCGACTTATATTTTTTAAGTCATACGTATAAAAGTCATTATCATTTTTCGCAGTTACGAAGGTGTTGGAGAACCAAGTTTACTACGACTTATACAAATGACTTTATATATATATATAAGAATGATTTTAAAAATAAAAGTCAGTGAGAGATTTATATTGAGGACTTTTCTAAATAAAACTCTTTAATAACTGTTATCTAAGCAATATAACTTAAAAATCAAAAATAACTATTATTTGCAGATTATTTAGATAAAAATCAAATATAATTTTTACTTTGGATTTATAAATTGAAAATCAGATAAAACTGTTACTTAAGGAGTAATTAAATAAAAGTAAAAAAAATAATTGTTAACGAGCGATTTTTTTAATAAAAGTTGTAACTGTTACGGTCCTGATATAAAGTAATTTTTTGATAGTTTTTAGATCATCAGAGCCAAGTCCTGTTCATAACTTAAAAACATTTTTTTTTTGTGTGTAAGTATCTGGCTTGAGTGTAGTAGTCTTGGATAGGGTTTCGATATGGATGCATATAAAACGTTAAAGACAACAAAAGCTGCACAGCATTGCGGACTAAGTTCAAATAAGAGAGACGAATAAACAGCTGATTAGTCAAAGTATTGCTCAAGTACTATGTTCTTTAAACATTCGTCTACAAATAATTGTTTTTAAGCGCAGTTCAAGGCAATCGATTTCTTGCGGTTTAAGAGATGGTAAAAGAAGTCAATTAAATGAAAATGTAAATATAAGAAAACCATATGTAAGTATGTATGTGCCAATAGATTATTTTGCGAATAAGTAGTTGATAGTTTAACATACATATGTACATATACATATTTAAGTACATACATACATAAGTGAGTATTTAGCTTTGAGACTTACCCGCAGTGCGCCATTGGAGCGGCGATCAGTTGTGGCATAGTGTTGCAAGCCGCCCGGTCCGGTAATCGGTACTATGCCGCAACCGGAGCGTATGCCCTGGCCCAAGGTCGCTCTAAATACAACAGTACAACAACAGTGCGTGACACATTCGTTACAGCCATACGAAAAATAATTGAATGTCGATTGTTTGTGGTTTTGTGATAGTTTTTTGTTGTTTTGTTTTGGAGTTTTTCGATTTTAATTTTTATAAATTATTAATTTTGCCGTTTTGCATTTTGACACAGTTTCATATTGGTTAGAATAAACGTTTAATTTTGTAGGTGTGTGTATAATTGTGTTAGCATTTTTTGCATTGTTTTTGATTAATTGAATTTTAGGTTTTTTGTCAGAGGTTATTCGTTTTACAGAGAAGCACACAGATTAAAAAAAGTTACACATACACAAACAGAAAGTTACAGAGCGAGTGGCATAGCCAGGCGGAGCAAGCATGTACGAGTTTGTATGTGTGGGTGGTTGATAGTTGTTTTAGATGGTAAACGCGGAAAATTTTGTTTTTTGTAGGTGTATATGTTTTTGTATGTTCGATACGATTCGTGAGTTGATTGTTTAGTTGTTGATGTTTTTTGTTTTGATTTTTATTGCATTTTTGGTTTCAATTCAATTCGATCCGATAAGATTGCCGGGCATTTTCAGTGATGTTGGTATGCGGCCCAGTATCGGTAGTAATGATTATTGTGGTTTATTGTTTTTAGTTGTTCATTATTGTTATAAGATTTTGTTGATGTTGTTGTTGTTATAGTTGTTGTGGTTGTACAGACAGCAAAGACAGCAACAAGTTGATTAACAAAGTTGTAGTTGCAAAAGAAAAGAAAACACATAAAACGAAAAAAAAGAAATGCAAATACACATAAATATGTAAGTATCAAAGTTTTTCTTCAATATTTGTATTTTTTTCTATAAATATAAAATGGTCGGTTTGTGTGTATGTTTGTACAAGTGTGCGCGTGTAGTGGTAACTTTAAAGTTGCATTTATAACGATTAAGGAGCGCAATTCAACGCCAACATCAAAGTTGTATGTACATACGAATCGAATGAAGAAATAGAATTCACATACATTGCATAACAAATAAAAATAACAAAGAAGAAGAACAACAACAACTCCAGAAAGAAAATCAGTTGAAAAAGACTTGGACAAACTAAAAAATCGGAACTAAAAAAATACATTGAACTATACCAAATACACATACATACATACGAACATAGAGAGAAGTAATTGCAAATGTAGTTGTGTACTATAAAGAAGAAATAAAGTGAAATAAATGGACGCAAGTTGAGAAATAAGGTTTGCTAAAAAAAGTTTTCCAAACTGAACTCTAAATAGTATTGATTGCGAAAGTTATGTAAATGCATTCGAAGCATAAGAAAGTTATGCATGTACATTAGGGCGGGTCAATTTTTTTTTTACTATGCCAGTATAGCATAGGAGGATTCTACATGTAATTCTAAGCAAATTTAGCGAAGAAACCATGGGACTATAACACGACACTACAGCAAAATGCTAAAAACCCTATTTTCGAAATTTGCCAAACTCCATATTGATTTTAAACCCATGGTTTCTTCGGCAAATTTGCTCAGAATTACAGGTATAATCCTTTTGTGCTATACCCGCATACTCGAAAAAATCTTCTTCTATACAAACTGACCCGCCCTAATGTACTTAGGCACATATATTTAGTTGAGATTTATATGTAGTTAGAAGTAAATGGCAATGAGCGCTAACCTACTAACTAAACTGAGGCAGTGCAGCAGATTAAAGCACAAATTATACTATATGCGAGGGTAGCATGGAGATTTCAGTTGAAAAATTTAGCATATTGAGTTTTTGTCGGCTTAAATAAGAGCACAGTTTTAATATTCATACAATTATTATTTTATTTCTGTAATAAATAAATACATTTATTACTTATACATAGGTAAGCGTAAAGTAAACTTAAATTTACATTCAAATTTTTTGTGTGATTTCATTGCTACGGCGACTTATTCGTTGTAGTTGTTATAAGAAAACTCAATGAAATTTCTAAGTATTCATATATGAAAATCGCTCCCAACCTCTACACTCTTATGCGCAAAAATTTTGTGTTTTAAAGCCACATCTTTTGTTAAAAAAAAATATACATAATAGCATCGCACAGTTTCCTAAGTAAAAACACTATCAGCTGATTGCCAAAAAATGCCTACAGCTGAGATCGCCTGTTTTTTGACATTTGCCCTAATCTTTTAAAATTTTTTTCATTTCTATTACAATTTCTTCCACTTCTATTACATTTTATTCAAAATACACTAACACACGGAACGAAAAACACCAATACTAACCAAAAACACACCTACAGCCTGCCAGAAAAAAACGGTAAGAAGAAGAGTTATGTTACTCATGGAATTGTACGATGCCTAATATTACCAAAGCTAAGGATGTGTTCGCAAAGTGTTCATACAGACAACTTTTTCACAAGATTTGTGGAGCTGAAATCAATCGTTTTTTTATTTTAAATTTTCTTTTTAATTTCCAAATTTATGACGCTGATGCGAATAAAAATTAAATGAAAAAGATTTTTTAGGGAAATCTATTGAAGCAAATTGTATAAATATTCTATTAGCTTTTCATCGAAGATAAATTTTGCGATACTGCCGATTCCATGCAAAAAGCTTCGCCCCGATTAGTTTAGTCCGGTTATCCGGCAAAATCTCTATCAGACACATCCCTAATTTGTATTGAAATTGCTTTCAAATATACACCTCGGTGTATGTTCAACTTAACTCACTTCATATTTTTTCAACAAAACCAAAAAATGTTAAAGAGTTGGAGATGTTTGGAAAACTGATATACATACATAGTTTGGGAAACTTTTGTAAAAAACGTTTGGAAAATATTAGTGTTATACGCGCTTCTGTTATTCGCTGTATCCTGCGTAAGTGTAACTGGACGAGCATGTGGTTGTTGTTGCATGTGTATTTGATGTACCGCTAGCAACAACAAATCACACGCTCGTGCAGCTACGATTACACAACATACAACGAATACACAGAAGAGCGAATTCCCCTATTGGTTAACCATTAATTAATAAACGAGCTTACTTCAATGCTCATTGGTATTGTATGCATATGTACATTCGTATGTTTGCACATAATTTTATGTGGAATATTAAAAAAAAAATATTTGCATTTCATAGCGAAGACGTATTAAAAACCTAAAAATGTTGTGTGTTAGTGTTTTTGAAATGAATTTGGCTGCAAACGAATCATCTTTCAACTAGAATCTGTTGTCATAAGACTCAATTGTCTTCGATACATACTAAGATAACGATAGAAAGCCGCGTAGGCCTTCAATAATAGGCAAATAGGCAAAATAAAAACATCCAGAGCAAGCAAATATCGACCCACAAACATATTACTACCTTTTAAAAGCTGCTCTAAGCTTCTTATGTAATTCGCGCCATAAAAAAAAAATATTAAAGAAAATTAAATATTTGATAAAAAGCGACTAACTACATACAAATGTGTACATATGGCTCTATGTACATACATATCCATAGGCGCTTTTGTATGCACAACAGCAAGTAATCGTAGTTTATTGAAGCGAAGAGCGAATCGATGGCGGGGACCGTATTTTAAAACTATTGTGTATTTAATGGATTTCCTATCGTTGTCAGGTCGGTCTAAATTCAAATAAGGTACACACGTGCATATATCTTACACGAGTATGTATGACTAAGCTCTATGTATAATACGTGCATATCTATGTATGTATATATGAACGAGTGGTTTTCTGTATGTACACCAGTGCTATTTTAGCAGCTATGTATGTATGAATGAGTGTTCTTTGTAAATGTGTATATGTAAATATGTAAAAGAGTGAAAAAAAAAAATGTTTAACTACATCCAGCATCGCTGTATATCGATTGTTTGAACGATGTGTGAGAAGTGAATTTTTATTTGAATTGGCTATTTTGTTTGTGGTTTAAGTACATATGTATGTAAGTATGTATGTATGTATGAGCAACATCTGCTGCTTGTTGAAGCTGCTGATCAATTTGACCTGTTATTTGAACAAATTTATTTTATCTAAAGCATTTAGTTTGAGCGATTTTAACTATTTAATTGATAATATTTATTTTTAATTTATTTGCTTTTATTTCATTCTTAATTATAACTTCGTGTATAATACATAAAAATTTTGTACGTTGCTAAAGTATTACGTGCATTGAATTAAAAAAACAAACGTTTGTGCTAAATGTTTTTTTTTTGTTATTTTACTACTAAATTTTTTAGCTTTGTAAACTGACCAGTACGTTTTTTTGCTGCTTAAATTAGAGTTGGAGTGTTGCTGATTATATTTGATATTTAAAGTTTTTGGCTCTTTTTTTGTTTTAAAATTTCCCTACTATAAATTACGTTAAAGTCTTCTATTTCGATTTGTTTGGTTCGTTTTGATTTGAATTCATTAGCAGTTAGCTTTAAGTTATTTTTTGGCTTAATATGAATTTATTACCTAATACGTAAATGGTTGATTTAATCCATTTGTATTTTTCATCTGCTTTTTATATTTTTGTAAATGAAATCTAGGTATTAGAAAAATGCATTGTTGTGTAACGTTTGAATATCTGTTATCAGCTTCGATTTTATTTCGTTTTAAAGTATTTTTTGATATCTATTTCTTTCTGATCCCTATTTGTGGCATTGCAAATTTTTGCGCCTGCTTAATTTCTGATTTACGTTGTTGTAAAATGTAATTTAAAGATAATCTTGAAAAGTGAATAAAAATGTTGTAGAATTTAAAAATAAATTATCTGGGCTATTACACGTCAGAAAAATCAGCATTTTCAAAGGGTGTACCGATTTTCGTCAAACTTCGTAGAATCGTAGTTCTATATTAGAAAATCTGTCATTTAAAAGTATTTTGAAAAAAAATCGAAATTTAAGAAGATGCGCCATTTTGATTTTCACTATTATTTCATAAAATTTGTGGTATTTTGGACTATTATGCATGGATTTTATGAAGCGTATACAAGTTTTCGCTAAAATTATACATTTGAAAATAAAGTCAATAAAAAAAT